GGACTTCTCCTAGTCAGGGCTCTATCCTTCCAGTCTCTAACAAACAACAGACCAATGCCAGCCTCTCTGCTGACTCTCACAGGCCCTGATGAAGTCAATACTTCACTAGAATGACCCACAGAATTCACAGAAATGATTGTCTACACTTAGTAGGAGCCATTTACTATAACCAGAGAGGACAGAAGGGAAGAGACATCAGGCAAAGTCTTGAAGAGACCCAGGCAGCACAAGGCTTCAACTGTCCCCAGGGACATCCTGCACTCTTTCCCATGCATGGAAGCTCTATGCAATCCAGAAAGGCTCAAATAGAGAGTTCCCAATCCCAGGGTCCCACTGGGGCCCATGCATATGCAAAGATCAAGGAACATACCTGATTGACTATATCATGCCTGCTCCCTTCCGGAGGCCTCCTGCCAGGATGAGGCCTAAGTAGTTCCTACTCCTTTACACAGGTTAAGTGTCACCTGGTAGTTTTAGAAAACAAAAGATACCTAGATAGCTCCCAAATTCCAAGTGCTATTTTCAGAAAACAGACATAAAGGCCACACTAAGTTCCCTGACACACAAAATAAATTTAAGAAATCAAAATGACTACTTGAGGCAAGGGAATGACTACAGATCATGTCTTACCCCATTGGCTTACTTACCTCCAAAGAAGAAAAATAACAGTTCCTCTGGTCAGATGATCAGGAGCAGGAGTCTTTAAAAAAAAAAAAAAAAAGCCTGCTCAGTGTCACAGAAAAAACTACCAGTTTTCAAATTACGGTCTGAGAACCCTGTAGACCCTCTAAGACCCTTTCCGGGACCCATAAGGTCAAAAACATTTTCATAGTAATTCCACAATATGATTATCTTTTCCATGCTCATTCTCTCAACAGCATATGCAAGAGTTTCCCATAGGCTTTATAACATGGGAGAGTGCAAAATATTAAAGACAGGTAGTTATGAGAATCTAGTGGACATTTAATTAAACTGATATTAAACAGATTTGCAAAAATGTAAAACAATGCCATTCTGTCCCTAACATATTTTGCTGTTGTTTTGGAAAACAACTATTTACATAAAATTTTATTATCGGTACTAACATAAAAAGTCATCTATTTTTTAAATATCTCAGTTTTAATTCCAATATGGTAAAATAGCAACGGATACAAGCCACAGAATTCAAAACTCTTGGTGGTCATAGTAATTTTTCAGAGAATATAGGGGGGTCTGAGGTCAAAAGGTTTGAGAAATACTTCTCAGTATTAAATGCTATTAAACTGGATCAGCTGTTAATAGTAGCAGTAATTATGGTCATTATTAGCTCGTCAGCATTGTCATTGAGTCAATTCCAACACATGGGAAACCTATATGCAGTTTCTGAGGCTGTAAATATTTGCAGGACAGACTGCCTCATCTTTCTGCCATGGAACAGCTGATGGACTGAAACCACTGACCTTGGGGCTAGCAATCCACTGTTTACCCAACAGAGATACCGGATCTTTTGAGATGGAAAAGGAACCTGGGCAAGCCCAGGTTGAGTATCATTAGAGATATTCACTGCCATCGAGTTAATTTTGACTCCTATAGGCCCTATAAAGCACAGTGCAGCTCTCCCTTGGGTTTCTGAGGCTGTAAATCTCAACACAAAGAGAAAGTCTCATCTTTAGCCCATGAAGCAACTGGTGGTTTTGAACTGTTGACCTTCTGGTTAGCAGCCCATCACATAATCCATTTAGGCTACCAGAGATCTTTAGGCACCACAAAGCATGATCTTCTACATTTAAAACGAAATTCAAGTTCTCTGAGCATCATTGGTTTTCAAAGTTTTAAGAACTCATTTTTTTCTCTATGGAAGCTTTCAGTTCTTAAATTTCATTTATTTATTTATTTATTTTGAATGCAGTCATATGAAATCATCAACTTCAATTTATTAAATAAACTTTTTAACATCCTGCTACTTAAACACTGTGCTTTCTGACTGTATCATATATTTATTTTCTCCTCTCTAGAAGAGATACTTTTAAATAATGTTGCAATATCCCCAACACAATGAACACAACTCTCTAAAAGACACTTTTCCTTCCTCTGATACAGCAAACATCCTGTAAACAATCAAAGCCCCACTCTTGACTGGAGGCTTTGGTTTATTGACAGAAAGGAAACCACTACTGGTCCAAGTAACAAGAGGTTTACAGGAAGCAAATAACTGTTGTCTTTTGTCTTGTTCTGGCTTTAGAGGGAAAGCGGAGTGTTTGGGCTGGGCAATGGTTTCGCAAACAACAGAGCATGCAGATGAATGAAGGACTCTCCCCTTGAGGGGTCTCCCTTATTCTCCGGGTCTCTTTGCAAGAGGAAGCTGATCTGCTTTTCAACATTGTCTGTGGTTTCTGGTTGTTTTCACATTAGGTTTCAGGCTTTATCTCGGATGTATTTAGTCATCGGGGGTAGCCCTCTTGAAATGTTTATATGTTTTTCAGGATATGAACCCCAGGATGAACCTATGGAGACACCAAGTAGAACTATGGTTTCTGGAGTTGTAATGGTGGGGCGGGGGCTGGGGGCTGGGGTGTGGAGTTGGCATGAAAGGGAGCTGATCACAAGTTCAAAAAGGAAGAAAATACTTTGAAACTGATTGTGGTAGCAATTTTACAATACTTCTTGATATGACTGAACTATGGAATGATATGTTATTGGTATTAGCTCCCAAGAAAATGGTTGTGAAAAATAAATAAATCAATTTTTTAAAAAGAAAAGAAATGAGATGCCTCACACTTCACAAGGAAGCTCTGTGTGAAAACTAAATTTGAAGGCAATGAAAGATCTGGTCCTTTGTTCTTACCAGCAGGTTTATTGTTTTTTTGTTTTTCTTTTTAGCTGTTTCTCAGACAAAGAGGGTTTTGAGAATGTGAAAGTGATACAGGGGGAAATAGAGTCAGCCTGCTATTTATCAATTCTAGAAAGGTGACATGGCTTGAGATCTGGTCTGTGTAAGACTTGGTTTGCAGAAAACCCCAAATGTAAAAGCCACCACCCTGCCCCACTCCTTGCAGTAAAATCCCCTTTTAAACTTAAGAATGTTCTAATTCAGCAAGTCTGGGCAAACAAAACCATCTGGGCAAGCAAAGCCCTTTAGATAAGGAATGGAGCCTGAGACTTTGAGGGAGTGACAGGATGCATCCGGTTTCTGTGAACCATGCCTCCTTTGTCCTATTGCTGAAGCCCTCTGATCACTATAACAACCCAGTCGACCAGTCCCTCAACTTGCCGCATAGCAGAGGTATATACCTTTCTTGCCTTCCACTGAATTCTGGAAGCAGTTTGAGAGGCTTTAACTCCATTGCTTCCTTCTATCAAGCACTAACAGAAACAAACTTAGAATTTTTTGAATCAACCTGGTCACTGGGCTTGGCTAAAACAGTGACAGACGTCAGGACCTTTGCAGCAGTATCATGGTGACCAAGGAGCTAGGACTTGGCAGAGACCTTCTGGTAAATGTTTGAGAAACATCATCTGGGAATCTTCTTTGCTGGGGGCAGAAGGCAGTTGGGGAGAGGATCTCCTCGGATTACCTGGACTAGGGGGTCCATACCTGGACGTCCCGGAGACCTCCAACAGTGACTGAAGGTCCTTTCGAAAGCTCCTGGGCTGCTATCACCTGCACTTTGGGACTGAGAAATTCTAAGCGTCTGTTTTGACCACATCTGGTAAGTGCATGCACTTGGAAACTTAAGTCCCTGAAGATTGCAACTCACAGTCTGTATCTATGAGATCTCGGTAATCGGTGCCTGAGGGTTCTCTCATCAATGAGCTAGGTTATCTGTAATCTATAAAATGTGGTTGCTGTAACAGGTGCCAAGCATGTGTAATCTGCAATCTGTTAAGAAAGCTCGCTAGTCTGTGAGTTAGTTTCCCTGTCTTCAGCCAACTCTTTTTTT